GCACAGTTTGTAATAGCTAAAGCTTGGAAACAGCCCAAGTGCCCATCAACTGGAAACTGGATAAAGAAGATGTGTTTTTTAATAAAATGAAGTACTACTCAGCCATAAAGAGTGAGAAACTAGAGACATTTATAGCTAAGTGGATGCATACTGAGGCCATACTCAAGTGAAATAAATAGGACACACGTGTAAATTGAATAGTTTCTCTAGTGTGAGAAACTGAAAGTGTAAATAAGGATTAGAATGATGATACGAATAATTGATAATTTGAAATAGGAAGAAAAGATCCAAAGGGGTAGGGGTGGTAGGAGTGGAAGGGGAAAGGAAAGAAGGGAAAGGAAAAACTATGAGAAAAGAAAAAAATGGCAATGAAGTCTATGTTAAATAGGGAAGGGTGGATGGGGTGAAGGGTGCACAGGTAATGGGGAAAAAATAACCAAAATACATCATGTACAGGTACAAGCACCCAATGAGAAATGTAAATGTATTGTATACCTAAAATGTACCAATAAAAGAATTTAAGGAAAAAAAATGATTACAAAAAAATATATAGGGCCTTCTATATTGGGAGTGCTTTTTCTCTATAGTTGGGTTAAAAAAAAGTTGGAGGAATCGACTGAGAACTTTTTTAATCACAAATAAATTCCAGTGTACAAACTCATTTAAAAGTGCTTTTGATCTCTTGGATCCTTTCTTTTATTCATTTTATGTTTCTAGTGACACTTATTACTATTTTTCTTTTCTTATTCCTTCCTCAGGCAGAGTATGCAAGACGCATAGTTCTTTTTAGTTGAGAAAGCTGCTAGATTTAATAAAATTTACAATGTACTACATGTTATAGAAGTTCAAAAAACTCTTCTGGTTGCCTAGCACTGTTGATAGAGCCACAAAATCCTGTTACCTGACCTAGTACAGGTTCTTGCTTTCATATTTTTATACTGTTTCTTGGCATTTCTCTTATGTTTTTTTTTTTTGTTTTTTTTTGTTGTTTTTTTTTTAGTACCAGGGATTGAACTCAGGTCCTTGTGCTTGCAAGGCAGGCGGCGGAACCACTGAGCTAAATCCCCAGCCCTCTTACTATCTTTTAACTATGATAGTGCCTTCCACAGAATTTTTCTTTTTTCTTTGGTACTGGGGATTGAACTTGGGTCCTTGTGCTTGCGCAGCAGGTGGTGAAACCACTGAGCTAAATCCCCGGCCCTACCACAAAATTTTTAAGCAGCAAGCTTGAGGCCATCCTGGAATTCATAGTGTGATCCTGTCTGAAACAAAAAAACTACAGAATGTTAATATTCATAAAAATAAAAC